CCTTTCAGCAATTCTATTTTGCTGAGGTGAGTAAAGAGCAGTGGTTTAATAAATTATTCTATGTTCTTTACAAAACTCACCAAAAGGTGATTCATATTCACCACCTCTATCACTTCTTAGTTTTTTGATTTTCTTACCAAGTTGATTTTCAACTTCATTCTTATATTGAATGAAAGTTTCCAAAGCTTTATCCTTGGTTCGAATTAAATAAACATAACTATATCTAGTGTAGTCACCTATAAAAGTGATAAAATACTTTTTCCCACCTCTTGTTTGAATTGATTTAAAATCACAAATGTCACTATGAATTAATTCAAGTTGTTCCGTACTTCTTTCAATTGAATGAAAAGGAGTTTTGGATAATTTTGCCTCAACGCAAATTTCACATTTATGATTTGAATCAATGTCAAATTTGGATAAACATTCCATATTAATTAATCTACGTAAAGATCCATAATTAACATGTCCTAGTCTACCATGCCATAAATTTGAAGACTCAAGCAAGTAAGAAGAAGATGTATTTTTATTAATAACTGAGGGTACAACGATCATTACATTCATCTTGAAAAGGCCATCAGACATGTAACATTTTCCTACATACATCTCATTCTTAGTAAGTACAAATTTATCACTCTCAAACACTAGCCTAAACCCATTCTTACTCAACAAAGATCCGGAAACAAGATTCTTGCGAATGTCCGGTACATGCAACACATTGTTGAGAGTGAGTTCCTTTCCAGATGTCATCTTGAGAACAATCTTCCCTTGTCCTTCAACTTTGGAAGTTGAGGAGTTGCCCATAAAAAGTTGTTCACCGTTGTCCACTGTAGAATAAGATGTGAACATCTTTTTGTCGGCACAAATGTGGCGAGTAGCACCAGTGTCCACCCACCATTCTTTAGGATTTCTGACAAGATTTGCCTCGAAAACAACTGCAGAAGGATTGATGTCATCTACAACATTGGAAATATTGTCCACTTCGGTTATATGGGCTTGAGCAGGCTTCTTACTTGTTATTCTTTTGCTTTTGCCTTTGCTACGGCAATCTTTGGCCCGATGTCCCTCTTTGTCACAAATGTAACACCATTAAACTTGTACTTTTTAGTTTCCCCTCCTTTAGAGTCTTGTGATGAACTTTTTCTAGAAAATTTCCGTTTCTTTACTTTTGGAGCATGTTTCACCACATTTGCCCTAGACTCCATTGGATGCTTACCAACCCGCTTATCTGAATTATGGTTGTCCTCCTCAATCCTCAAACGCACAATTAATTCCTCTAAAGACATCTCTTTGTGCTTGTGTTTGAGGTAGTTCTTGAATTCTTTCCAGTCTTATGGTAATTTCTCAATTAAAGCTGCAACTTGGAAAGATTCACTAAGAGACATGCCTTTTACATGAATGTCATGCAGAATGAGTTTGAGATCTTGAACTTGGCTGATCACAATCTTAGAATCAACCATCACAAAGTCCAAAAATTTGCCAACCACAAATTTCTTTGAACCGGCATCATCCGTTTTGTACTTTTTCTCCAAAGACTCCCAAAGTTCCTTTGTTGTCTTGATAGGACTGTAGACGTTGTATAATGTGCTTTCAAGTCCATTCAAGATGTAGTTCTGGCAAAGGAAATCAGCATGTTTCCAGGCATCGACCACTTGCCGATCAGTTTCATCCTCTTTCAGAATAGGAGCATCCTCATAGAGAAAGCGTGCCAGGTTTAGAGTTGTAAAATAAAACAGCATTGTCTGCTCCCATCTTTTAAAATCAATTCCGGAGAACTTCTCTGGCTTCTCACCGTGATTTACTGGTACTGCTACAACAGGAGGGGAGGTTGGCACAATTGCAGCCACCATTTCAGTACTCGTTTGAGCATTTGTTTCAGTAGCCATGAATTCGAATTTATTTTTAATTAATGAACACTCAGAAATTATTTAAGAAAACCAAAATTAATTTATGACAAACTTCCAAAAAAAAATATTCTGAATTGTTAATGACACCAGTATATTACTACTAGTTGTCAAAGAAAATAGACAGTATATTACTACTAGCTGTCAAATAGCATATAACCACTATTTGTTTTTCCAATCAGAATATTAATTTGTAAAATCACAGAAAGTAATTTCTGTAAGAAGAAGAAAGAGAAAGGGGAACAAACAAAAAATTCTGTAAACAGAATAATTTGAATCTGTCTTAAGATTGTTGGAACAATCTTCTGTATACAAAAAATAAATTGAAACAAAATCAAACAAATAAAATAAAGAACGTACTGAAATTTATTTTTACTGAACCGAATAAATATTTAAAAACCAAGTCGAGTGGGTGACACTCTGTTCTTAAGACAGATTCGCCCCGTTACGATGCTTACAGTTAAGTGGCGTCTATCTCCCAAGATACAATGATCTTCACAAATTTGTAATAGCACTCCAAACCAATTTGTCTAGTAAACTAAAACCTTGTGTTCTATACTCTCTTTAATTTTTTCTAAAACTATAATGAAGAATAAATAATGCAAATGAGCAAAACTAGAAAGAAAGAATGAATTTTCGGATATGAAATCTGTTGGAATAGGGCTGGTATTTATAGGCAAAAAACAGTCCCGAAAAGGTATGAATTTGAACTTGAACAGATTCATATTTGAAACTGAACAAATATGGTAACTATACAGTTATATAACTGTTCAGAAACTGCTGAAACTGCCCGGGCAGTTTTGAATTTGAATTTGTCTAAAAATGAATCTGTCCAGGTGCAACAGATCTGAAACAGTTTTGAACAGATATGCAAACTGTTTGGTAGTTTTAAAACTGCTCGGAACTACTGGGCAGTTTTTCCCAATCTGTTGGATTGTTTGAACCTATTGAACTGTTGGAAAATGGACTGAAAACCAGATACAATTTGGACAGAAAATTAAATTCTATTTCATTAAGAAAAAATTCAAACGCGTGTGTGGTGGTTTTTAGCCAAGGTTCTATTTGTCTATAACTCCTCATTTCTACAAACTTGGGGTGCCCCTTGGGGCCCAACCCAAGTATTGCAATCTAGAGTTTATATACATGCACAAACTCTCTTAAAGTTTCAATGTGGGACAACCCTCATTTCAAAGAAACCCACATTTACTTCTTTAATTGTTCATTCCACGAAACCGAAAAACGACGTCAAGTTTCTATTCACTCATAAATGGTTTTGACAAACCGTCTTCACCGTGTAACTTGCCATGCGGCAAGGAACACGTCACCTCTTCGGATCCACCCCAAAAGACGTTTGGGGCCCACTCAATTTTGGGCTCAAAGTTGGCCCAAAATAAGCTTATAAAACCAATTTTCCGACGCTTTTATCTTTTCTTTTACTTTATATCTCCTGCTTGTCTAATAACCACCAATATTTGGACTCTAATTTTACATCTTGGGCTATGCTTATAAGTGGAGTTGAAGAAGCACAGAGCCGTACAGATAGCGAGTCTTATTTTCATTTTTTGGTTCAAATCATATGTTCTAATATATTAAGTGGCCTAATTGCATTTGTGAATGGCTTGCGTTTTTCAGCTATTAGGTTGAGCTAGGATGTTTTCCCTTTTGCAGATTTGTGAATTCAGGTTTGCCTGAGCAGTGTTCTTTGTGATCAAGTGTTAAAAATATTGTTCTGCAACATACACATACCTTTGGGGGAACACATTAGCCCCAATGCAAGGGCAAAGGAGTGCAGGCAATTCCTTTACTGAAACTGTTGATCTTAACCAGGGATTTGTTTCCAATAACACTGGCATGAATCAGTCAACTGCTTGGAATAGCATGCTAAGTCCAGTGGAAAGCCGGTTGCCAAATTACATGCTTTCTTCTGCTGAAGGGAACTATACTTGCACCAATGCTGTTAGTCATAGTGCTCGAGGTTTTAGTGGTTAGGATTTAGGGGAATCTAGTTCTAGTCAAAATTTACAAGGCCATGGCATTGGTGATGGTATGAAAATCGAAAATGGTCGGTCGTCTTCATTTTTGATTCGTCCTGGGTCTGGACCGTCTAACATCTTTCTTCGTGATAGCGTTAACAATGGTGTTGGTGGTAATCAGGTTACCGACAGACCTTTAATTATGCAGAGTTCCCGTTCTAGTCGTGTTTCTCTGAATATAAATTTAAATGCTGGGGACATGGGCAGTAGTGGCGATGGTGGGCAGGACATGGAGCTAGATGCATGCCATAATTTGTACAAGGTAAGCGGACCAGAAACAGAACAGATCTTGAGTGCTAATGCTTCTTCTAATAACACTGGGAATTCTTCTAGTCATTCTGGTTGTTTGGTGGACAATGAGGGTGAGTCAAGTTCGTCTTTGGGCAATTGGGGTTCATCCTGCAAGAGAAAGGCTCTTGAAGGTACTTCTGGACAGTCTTGACCAGGTGGGAGTTCAAACTACTTTCAAAATGCTGAAATCTTTCCACGACATGGTGTTTTTGCTCGTTACAGTGCTTCTAGCAGCTTAAGTATATCACCACCACCAGTGATTTCTCCGTGCATTGGTCCTTCTGAACAGCTAAACCCAAGAAGTGGCATTAGTATGCGTGGAGTAGCTTCTGACGTCTTTCCTCCTACAAGTGTGACAGGAATTGCAGGAAGCTCCTCAAGAATTTTTTCCGTGAGAGGAAATGTTGGGCATCATGAATCTGTTAGGTTTAATTTACCATCAACAGGGAATGTGATAAACCATTCTGATGTGTGCTCCCCTCTCCAGCCATCTAGACCTCTCTCTTTTACCGATTCTTTGGACTTGAGACCAACAACTATAGTAGCACCCAATTCAAGTAATCCCCCAAACCAGTCTTATTCAATGCATATTCTTGATTTGCCAAGGAATACACTTTCTTTCCCTTGTAATGGGACTCTTAATTCAGGAGCTGGCGGTTCTTCAAGTTCTTCATCATCGCGAGAGGAAGCAAGTTTTAGAAGCACCCCAAGAAATAGCATGGGGCATCCTATGGTTGTTCCTCCAACTGAGATGAGAAATTCGGTGCAAGACTAAAATAATTGGAATTTATCTACTGGAAATACCAGTACTTCTACAAGTGTCCCTTCTAGTTCTCGAATTAGCCTCAGCTCTGCTATACGGCCTTTCCCCACTGCGTGGACACCTCATCGCAACCCCCCAACACAAAATCAACAAAGATTATCCGAATTTTCTCCTTGGACTTTGTTTCCATCTGTTGATTCTGAGTCTGAAGCTCTGAGAGCTCACTTTCCCCCATCGCGTTCAAGCCCTTCTTCTTCAGAGGAAACAATAATGCCATCTGGAGCTAATAGCCAAGGCCATCATCCACCATATCCAAGATCGGCCTTGTTGGAGCTACCTGGTGATGATGTGAATGGTTGGCGTGCTTTAGCTGATGATGTTGAGGGGAGACACAGGCTGGTATCTGAGGTTTGTGGTCTAAGTTCTTTGTTTTTTGTTTTAATTTTTCCCTGATTTCCAAGCTTACTAATCCCTTGCTTAAAGTTGGTTAAGATATATTACCTGAGTATGGTATCTTTGTTCCTAGAAATTGAGTATTGCAATATTAAGTTGATTAGTCATGAATATTCCGCATATATCAGTTTGTAGAACTGTGCTTTCCTTTGAGAATGGCAGAGTCATGTTTCCATTGATCTCATTAATCTATTTGATGGAGTGAAATTTAGTGAAATCTGTAGAGATTGGTGACTTGTCAATAAGAACTATTTTAGTCCCCCCAAATTGGTAGACAAGTTGTTTTGGTCTTGTTGACCGTCTTCTTATGTAGGTGAGGATTTTGTGAATTGCCTTGTCAAGTATGGTTAGCTGGACATGTGATGTAGGAGTGTGGGGGTGATGTAGGACAAGTTTGGGGATCACTCTCCTGTTAGTAGTGACTAGTGAGCACAAAACTACTGTGGGGTAGCGTGAAGAGGTTTCTATTTTTGGGATGTTAGGGGACTGTTCTTGGTAAAATTACTTAGATTGTTAGGGTTATATGTTGTAACAAAATGATAAATGTTTGCGAGTGAAGAGAGAATTTTTGGGACTGTTTGACGACTGTTCTGAGCACTGTGAACGATACCCAAGAACAAAACCTTGGCTAGTGTAGTAGTTTTAAAGCCCTTGAGTTGAATGTTTAAGCAAGGATAGGGCTTGGGCTTGGGCTTGTAAAAAGGAATGTCTAAGGGTTAAAACAAGCTTAGACATATCTCGTTGGGGAGTTAAAGGGCTACATATGGAAATACCTAATTTATAATCATCGCACTTGGGTTAGAAAAATTTGATATTTATATGACATACATAAAGATAGAAGCTTCCTGTGAAATCCAATATATCAATTTATTGTAGAAGATTCCTACTACGTCCACACCCCAAAGGCTATAACCACGGCAATCTTCTCACATGAGTAGGCCGCCCACATTGTGAGAGGAGGTGGTGGATTCAGCCATTAGCGGCATATATGTGTGTATGTGTATTATAATATAATTCCAGATTATGAAAGTTGTATGGATCTGTTTATTTATGGTCGTAATTGTCTGAATTGTTCTTGCACATTCTTAATTGCATAATTTGTGACACTGTCAATTTTAGTTTCTATCTTGCTAGTAAACGTACATTCTGTTGCTATCAAAATTGCTTAGTTTCTGATTAAGAAAAGTTGGAACATTGAAGTAACAACTTCTGTCCTTCCATGTAACAGATTTGTCAAGTCTTGAATGCTATGCGTAGGGGCGAGAACTTACGAGCTGAGGTTCAATTTTGACCCATGCCTCATTAATTCATTAATTTTTATATGTTGTGCTGTAACACAACCATTTCGTCTTTGTCAACTGCCACAAGAGTATGAATGCTTTAGTTGATATGGTGACATTTCATGTTCTGTTGATTCTGTTTTTGACTGGAACTCATTTGAGATACCAAAAATTCAGTAAGGCTTTCTATGCTTCTAAACTTCTTAGTAATTATTGTTTATGTTATCTACTATGAAAATAAATAAATAAATAAAAAATCAGGTAACGGTTGCACTTATCGTGCTGCATGAACTAGCTTTATAAAAATGCTACCAAAAGGACTACCAAAAATTCTACAAAATACTCACATGGATGTGGGTCTCATGTGGTGTTGGTGCCACACCCATCATGTGGCTATTTTGTAGAATATTTGCTAATTTTTTTGACAGCAATGTTACATCCACATAATTTCTTCTCCCACAATCACCTATCCACATAATTTCTTCTCCCACAATCACCTAATGAGATGGCAAGACAAAATGCATATAAAGAGAGTTTTGAGAAAATATTTGAATGTGGGTCAACTTTTCAAATTTTGCTTGCCACGTCATTTTTTTTTTGGGGGGTGGGGGGAGGAGAAATTGTGTGGATGAATCAAAAATTTTTTTTTTGGGTCCCTAGTATTGTTGAATGATTTGTCGATCATCAAAAATGTCTTGTGATTTGCTTCATTTCTGACATTGTCCTGCATGTATAATCATGTGTTAGGATTATATGCTCTTCGATCCATTTCATCTCTCTTCTTAACTCCCTACTTGTTGGGTCATTGGGCTCTTTTTTAGACCCAATTTCAAAGATCCAAACCGTTCACATTTTAATATTTATTGATTATATCATACCTGTAAAAAAATAAATTGATCGAATATCAGAAATTACGTGTTCGGATCATCGAACTACAAACCATATTTTTAAAAAATTTAATAAACAGTTTTCTAAACACATGTTTTCTGATATCCGATCAATTTGATTTTTTAGAACTATGATATTTTCAACAAATCTTAAAATGTGAATAGTTCGAATTATCAAAATTAGACCCAAGAGTGAACCAAATGACCTAGCAAGTAAGGAGTTAAGGAGAGAGATAACAGAAAAGATCTTGATTCTTCATTAAAAGGGTAGGGTTGGTGGGCCCAATCACTCTGCTAGGAAAGGGAAAGTAGGAAAAATTATTGGTACTTATATCACGTTGTCATGTCTCATACTAATTACAATTTATTATATCATTTTATATTTTTAAATTATTAAAATTAAATTCGTAAGTCTTATTTCCTTTATCAATTATAACATGTTGCTCAAAACTCATCCAATATCTTCTCGGAAGGTAGATCCGAAATGGCGTATATGGACATCTCCAATTCCAAGTCATGATTATGTGGCTATGCTAACCTCACCATCACCCCCACTAAAACAACAAAACTATATGGAACTCATCACCCATCATTATCAACCCAAAAATGGTATGTATTATGATTTTTTATTCCAATCCTGCTATATGTATATGTTTTTGATTTTGTGACCCACCTTATGTAAAATGGTATGTATTATGATTTTTTATTCCAATCCCGTTATATGTTTTTGATTTTGTGACCCACCTTATGTGAAGTGGTTTCATATTTTTCTCTCGTCTTTAATCTCTTTAATTTCACATTATTAGAGTAGATTTGGGAGACAAAATTAGGAAGATAAATCATTTTTGGGTGAGACTTCTTTCTAGTATTATTGATATTTGATCAACATCATTTTTTATAAAAATAATATACTTAACAAGTTTTATACATTAAACGATGTGAATTATTATAATAAACTTAGAGTAAGGCCTATTTTGATGTTAAATAGAAACCTTTTTTTATTATTATTATAAAGCTTACTTTGGGCTATTTTGGAAAGATAATTAAAAGTCATCTTCTAACTTTTAACCCATTTTGGATCACATCTCTCACATTTTTTTAAGAAAAAATCAAAAAATCATCTTTTAACCATATTTTCAAATCAATCCTTTAAACATACCTCAAGATTTTGATGCTTGTAACCAACTCTGAGTTCTTCAAATATAACTTGAAAATTTAGCGAGTTATAAAATATTTCTAAGTTTAATTTGTTTACATTAACGAGCTGAATACGAATCAAATTTAAATAATTTATTTTTTTATAGCACATATATAATTATTTAGTCAAGTGGTAATTGTTTAAATTTGACTTATTTACGTAACAAGTCGATATCGAACAAGTTTTTAACAAATGAAATACAAGTTAAAGTCAAGTTGTTTGGTTCATTTTATAGTCTTAAATATGCAATGATAAAATTCATATAAATGTGTAATGAGTATATTATACAAATTAATAAATAAATATTATTTTGAACATTAATATATTAAAAAAACTAACATAAAGCGTAGGACTATAAAAATTATACAAATTAGTATATTATACAAATTAGTATATTTATTTATAGTCTTAAATATGCAATGATAAAATTCATATAAATGTGTAATGAGTATATTATACAAATTAATAAATAAATATTATTTTGAACATTAATATATTAAAAAAACTAACATAAAGCGTAGGACTATAAAATGTATCAAATTATTTGACCTTGACATTATTTGACTTGTTAAAAGTTCTTTCGAGATTAATTCATTAATTTTTTAAGCTTAGTTTCATATAAATTTAAAAGATTTTACAAAAATAAATTATTCTAACTCAAATCAATTTGATTGGTTCAAAATTTAACCAAGTTAAATATATTAAGAAATTTATTAAAATTTTCAAATCAAACCTATCCAACCTGCTACTTAAGGACAAAACTATGTATAGACTTACAGGGCCCTGCCTCCTACTTCGCACAAGATGCTCTGATGTTATATATAGTTCAACACGCCAACAACTTCTATGGGCATTGCTCCTATTTAATTGTTATAATTTTAACCGAGAGGATTATATTATGCAAATTTCATATTATATTTATCTTCAATTATATTATTTTTTTATTTAATTAGAATTAATTTTTTTTCTTTAGTTATGACAAGGGATGTAATGAACGAGATACGGTTGGTATTTAGGTAAAATTTTTCACTGAACCAATAATATTAGTTTTATTATTTTAAACATTAATACATACCGTTTGTCTCATCAAACCGCACCAAATTGAACCGATTGAAACGGTTTAAGTTGGTGCGGTTTAATCATTTTATGGCATTTCAAACTTAAGCCACTTTTTAGTATAATCACTAATGTATGTAAAAATACTGAATTAGTTATTTGTCCACCACTTCAAATATATTCAATCCATCCATTTAATAAGTACTTTTCAATTTCTAAATTAACAAAATTACAAATAAAAAAAGCCATAAAATAAGAATAATGAGTTAGAGTTAAGATTATATATAATAAGAGTTTACAAACTTAGGTTATAAAGATGATAAGGTTAATTAATTAAGGTTAATAATTTATTGTACTTATTAATATCATTATATTATTAGATTATATATATATATATATATATATATATGTTATAAATGCAAACATGTTGAAGCGGTCGGTTTCGGTTTAGTTTGGTGCACAGCGTGCTTGAATGGATATCGAACAAAAAAATAAAAAAAAAAAATCAAATTAAAAAACTGAACAGGTCGATTCTTGTTAAAAAATAGACCAAATATAGTCGATTCAGTCCGGTTCAATCAATTTAATTAAAAAAAAATTTCTTACATTCCTAGTTATGACATTATTTTGAGATTTTGGTTATAACTTTTTTGCATTTGGTTATGACTTTTTATTTTTTATTTAGTTATGATTCAAAAAGTATGAAATTATAACATTTTCTTCTATATTTATAAGGTGCGGTACAGTCTTTTCCTTTTAACCATTCTCTTTAACAACTCTTTATAATACAATAATAAATAGAAAAGATTATTGTACACACCCCTAAAAGGTGTGCACCATATGCACTTTATAACTAAGAAAATGACATAATTTCATACTTTCTGAGTTATAACTTAAATAATTTTTAAAAAAAAATGTCATAACTAAATAACACATGAGGCATAATCAAAGATTTCATGAGTTATAACTAAAATAATGTCATAATTAAAGAAGAAAATTGGTTATAACTAAAGAAGAAAATGAAATAATCTAATGGGGCATATAGTAAGGGGTGTATAGAGTAGAATTTTCAATTTATTTGTAAACCCATTATAAGAAATATATCGATTTTTTTTTTTAATTTATTTATGAAAGTTTAAAATATTTGTAGTATTATGTGTAATAAAAGTTACGAGTAGTCAATTTATAGTGTCCATCTCTAAATTGAAACTGGAAAGTATGAGTTACTATATTTATGTTATGAATAATGTAGTGTAAATCTTACAAATTATATTTGTGATGCAAAATGTTATGAACTATTTTGGTGAAAGAAGCTGCAATTTGTTATAGTGTTGCAATATTTATTGTGATAACGTGTATACGATATTCACCTTTTAAATAGTGCACACCATAATAACTCCATAACATATTATGTTCTAAAATATATTTTTAATTATATCATTCACTTTGCAAATGAAATTAAGTTGATAATTTTTGTCTTTCATTAGCCTAATCATTATTTCTTGCTATTGCAATGTAAAAACTCAAATTGATTAGTGATGCTATCACATAGTATAACTGTTACATCAAATATTTATCAAAAATAAGAATTTATTCATTTTCAATAAATAACATGAAAAATTACAATTGTTAATTGCATAAAAATCCATTACTTTTAATCTAACTTCACATATCTTCCTATGTTTTTTTTGCCCCCCTAATAATCAAATCCTGATCGTACCTGCTACTATTCATTTTGTTTAGAGCTATAGCAAAAGGTACCCTTGTACATAGTGTAAATTTGAATTTAATAATCAAATCCTGGTCGTACCTGCTATATTCATTTTGTTTAGAGCCATAGTAAAAGGTACCCATGTACATAGTGTAAATTTGAATTTAATAAGTGACACTTAAAATAAACCTAATCTATAAATTTCATTTTCTTTGCACATTTCAAATTATTTTTTTGGACGTATTCTATGTTGTTAATTTTTATAATATTGGACAAATTGTAACAGTAGTCCTTGTACTTTAGTAATTGTATAATTTTGGTCATTGTAATTTCAATTGACTCGATTTTGATTATGAATTTATGATTTTATTTCAATTTAGTAAAATTGATTACAATTCTAAGCATTTTTAATAAAAAAAATATGCATATAAGTGGCATAGGTCATATTTTTTAGAGTAAAATTTTAAATTTACTAATCTTAGTTAGTTAACCTTAACCAATTCAATGTTTATTTTCAGTCAAAAACACTAATAACATTATTACTTGGACCAAATTGACATAAAATTTAAAATCAAAAGTCAAAATTATATAGATTAAAAGTGTAAAAACTAAAATAATATAAGAAACAAAATATAAATACCACTAGGGGTGGGCGCGGATTGGTTGCGGCCACGGAACCTCTAATCCGCCATCCGTCCGCCAGATTGGCGGATTGGAGAAAATCAATCCACATTCGTCCGCCAATCCGGCAGATGCGGATTGAGCGGATTGGCGGATGGATACGAATCGGTTTGGCGGTTTAAAAGTTCACAAATTTTCAACATAATTTAATTGTGTGCGCACTTCCTTTAAAAAAAAAAAAAACAAGGCATAATTCAAGTTTGCATAATTCAATATTCAGGTGGGATAATTCAAGTGTGCATAATTCTGGTAG